CGTATTTCTCATAAGGTACTAAGGTCAGAAACGACTTAAAAGTAACTTGTGAAGTAGATAAGCACATAACCATATAGGTACTTCAGAATATAGCATTACATTCTGACCTTACTTACGTCAAATAAAATGAAAACAAAATGTCTTACCCGTGCAATGAAATAAAGAGTATAAAACAGTGGAAATATATAAAGTTCATATTTTCGTTATCACCGTACGCTGACCGGCGGCAACCACTACTATTGTACTGTGCATAGATAGCTTGGCATTGCACTAATAATAAACATCAACTACAGGACGTTCTAAATAACTAAGCGATAGGAGCAATGAATAACAGAGGAATAAACAATATTATAATATTATTCATATTATATATTATACTAGCTTTTTTACCCGCGGCTTCGCTCGCGTCACAAAAGGATAAAAAGTAGCCTATGTGACATATACTAATACACACAGCGCCATCTATACCAATACCTTGGTTTTCCCTCGGAAATATCAAATTTTTCCCTAAAGTACCCTATTATTTAATCCACACATCTAACTTTACATCTGCAAAAATTCAAAGCAATCGGTTTAGTAGTTACGGCGTGAAATCGGAACAAACAAACAAACTCACTTTCCAATTTATAATATTAGTAAGGATAGTACATATATTCATATTATAAGTACATAGGTCTAATCAACCACACTGTTTTACTAATGAAGTGAGTTGCTGTATAAGTACTTAGTTAGTCTCCAGTTATCTATTACTTACTAGCTTCTGCCAGCGGCTTCGCCCGCGATTCCAGGGGTAAACTGCCTATATATTACTTCAGATCATAATCTACCTCTGTTCCGAATTCCATTCCGGTCCTTTCAGTCGTTTTAATATGACTGAGTAAGAAACATACACACAAACTCACATATTTTCACATTTATAATATCGGGTCAAGCTAATTTCAACCATCGGCCCTACAGTTACAGCGTAAAGTCTATGGATGAGTATTGTAAACGTAAGAGTAAACAAATATAGGCAGAAAGCTTCGAACTGCTAAGCTATCGGGAGTTACACGTGTTATTGTGAGTCAACCATAAAAGATAGACATGTACTGTTGTGGGATATTATTTAGATAATTTTATGTAGAACATTTCCGTCATACATGATTTCTATGTAGCTTTAACTATTAAGCCTGCTCACGAGACGGAAGCTTAAAAAATGGAGTAACTTCTCCCGTTTTTCCAACACTTTCCTTCACTGCTCTACTCCTATTGATTGTAGCGTGATGAAAAATATACTATAACCTCCCCAGGAGCATGAAGAATAATTGTTAAAATCCGTCGAGTTTTTATTTCTATAAGGAACATACAGACAGACAGACATTTTTTGGCATTAGTAACGATCACTAATCACAGTGATCACCCCCTGATAGTTATCTTGGGAATATATTTCATGTACAGAATTGACATCTCTACAGATTTATTATAAGTATAGATATAGACTAGCTTCTGCCCCGTAGGATTTTCAGGATTTTTTTTGTCATAAGAACCTTCTCCTGACAATAACAAACACAACAAAAAAAATCAGCCAAATCGGTCTAGCCGTACTCAAGTTATAGCGTGACAAGGGGAAACGGGTTTCAGTTTTTATACATATAGATAGATAGATGTAAAGTATACTTAAATCACATTTTGTCAAAGAAATGTTACAATTAAATTTCACGTAAATTATGATTTTTTTATGTTTGTAGATTGTGGGTGTAGAAACTTGTAAAATTGATAATTATTTGTAATACTTTTAAAATAACAACCTGTTAAATGGGTTTTGAGGTAGGTATGCTTAACAATATTGGGTAGGTGTCTAATACCTTTTAATTCTTTGAAGGGTAGATGAATCTCTGACCACAAGTACTTACTTTTCGTCATTCCAGCATTCCCCGCTAGCCAGCCAGTAATCCAATATGATATTGAATTTCGGAGATGACCCAATTGCCCAATCTGGGCACATTTCCGGAACGTACATACATTTGGCGATATAATTATGTTTATTTTTAATTTAACAGTGAAAAAGTCAATAATTTATTTGCTTAAACATAACACATAATCAAAACTAAAGTGCTTACTAATCTGCTGACTTAGCAATTTTACCGCTATAGGAATTGCAATAACAATACTAGAATAATTAAATTAAACAAACAGGAAATTGTAACTAATAAAGTTATTTTAGTAAAAAGGTGGCAGTAAATGCAAAATTAATATTACATTTACTTAATAATTCAATTAAATTGTATCCTTAAAGAATGGCAACTACATATACACAACGTTTCTAGTTTGATTCAAAGTCGTTTTCTTCTATTTCTCAACTGTCCTAACCACCTTTCGAGAACAAGTAGGTACTTAATAATACCAATTATGGGCCATTGAACTTGGTTTGGCTTAAAACTAATCGAGCTACGTCATCCAGCAGTATTACCACAAAATTAACGCAAATTATTAAAATGACTAAGAACTATTTTTAAAATAGATTAGGTAGATCAAAAAGAAAAAAATACCTATAATTAAAAAAAAAACAACCTGTATAGAAGTTATCAATGGCCGACAAAGTCATCGACTGTTTAAATCACATTATGCTTAATTAGTAATTTTATTGCATTGCACAATACATGCACAAAATGTAGGTAGCTACTGATGCACTGCACAGCTTCTGTAGTATAGGCAATATTTTAAACTAATTGCAATTTTTGTTACATTGTTTTTTTGTATCTATATGATAATCTGAACTTTGATACTAGGTCAGGTAGAACGTCAAAACCAAAATTTATTTATGTAAGTATAAAACTAGGTATACGTGTCAGGTTGTAACGATAGTTTGATGAACAACTTGTAAAATCGCTGCAATTCCTGTAAGCCAGGATCTATACAGTACAAGTAGTTACAACCATGATTCTACTTAGAGTTCGGCGAGTTCGGCGCCTCCCAGGTACGTGAATAAGTCTTGGTTCCCGCAACGAAATAAACCAGAAGATATTATTAACGGAGAATTAAAAACGCCAATGTGTGTACATGTTTTTTTAAGGGGGAAAAATCATCGAATCACCTGCCTGCTTGAGGCGGCAGGGAGTTCAGGCTCTTATGCCCGAATACTGAAACGTTACTCAATTTTAAGTCACGCTTAAGTATAGTTCTATCACCACTAATTCTTTGTGAAATGACAGAGATGGCACGATATTTAAGCACGACTTAAAATTGAGTAACGTTTCAGTATTCCGGCATTAACTCGTCGAGTACCGGTTTTGTAGACACAATTATAAAACAATAGGTTGCGGTCACCGGTGACCGCTTGGTGTTTGACAGTTTAATGACTAAAAATCACCCCCTTCCTACTACTGCACTTCGAGCCGGTTCCCCGGTATCCTTTTACGTTCTCCGCGGCTCCGTATCGGCATCAGCCCTAGTAGGCCGCATCCGTGGTGGTTTAAATAGTGTACGTATAGTGTAATGACGGCAGTAGATCACTTACATTTTCACTCCGACCCACGACCGGTGTCCTGACTGGTAAATAGTGGCACACTGCTGCTGGTATCAGAAGAGCCAACTAAGGTACTGAACATTTAACCTACCAGCAGATCTCTTAGATGTACCGGTGCTTACTCTTGAAACCAATCTCAATGCCAATACAATTTCAATCCAATAAAATCTCAATAATTACTCAATGTCTAAACTATACAACCCCTATCGTAGGTAATAAAATAACATTCAGAGTACGGAATATAAAGCCAAACTCAATACCATTTAGTTCATTTAATATCCACGCAATACGGATGCAATGGGCGTTAGTGTTGCAACTCAAGAGTACGAAATTTCACAATACCAATTTCGATCGATCGGAATGGATTCAAGAGTAAGTCCCTGAACACAGACACCTTTTACTGCAGTCTCCAACCCAACCCGCCCTGCCATAGTAACCTCTTATGTAGAGGACGTGTGCAGCAGTGGACGTGTGCTGTTTATGGTAAAAGCTCGAATAGACGATCGAACTGAAACTGAATTAATAAAACTAATTACCTACCTAAAATGAGGGGTCCATTTGAAATTTTTCGAATCGTAGGTGTATCGTTTTGATCTTTTTTTTTTAAAAAAAAACGTTGCCCCGCTCTGGGATTTTCTCCTGTGTCGTGGGTGCGTTTACAAACATAGAAGTTCACATACACAATGACACCCAGACCCGGAACAACAATCTGTGGATCACACAAAGAGTTGTTCCGTGTGGGAATCGAACCCGCGACACGTTGCGCGGCTGCCAGTTGCCCAGCCACCTCGCCAACCGTGCAGTCATCTTACGTATTCATTATTAATTATACATACAATATACATACATAACCTTACGCCTATCTGCAATGGAGGTAATCAGAGACGTATTAGATATTATATTAGGTAAAAAATACGTACCTAAGCACTTATTTGGTATTTTCTATCACATTGCATTGCCAATAGCGATCAACACCACTTGTTTTCTATATTGGCACATGATTGTCATTCCTCACGACTAAGTTTTTTTTTTAATACTTATACGTATCTAAAATCTAAGCTAGGGTACAGAAGCACAGACAGAAGTGTTACTTGCATCACATGGACATGGACGAACAATAGGTATTGTTTATTAAATTATTAAGGTTTATTGACCTTCAAAATGACCACATATTTGAAAACCAGATAATTACACAGGCCAGTGTTTAAAAAAATGAAACCTACATGTGATTAATTAATGCTATCGAAATGATATATCGATATTTATCCTTGTTTTCATAAACTGTTCGCAGTGTTTAATAAAACAAAGATTGTTTGTTTACGTTGAGTTGTATCACTGATAACATAATTTTATTTATCTAGTATAGTTCCACTATTACCTAGTAGATGGAGTAGTTACGTTAGGAATAAGTTTCCTACCAACCGCTAGATGGCGTCACAATATAACAAAAGTGGAACATTCTAGAACTGGTTGGCCAGTACATTGCTAGCGAGTGAGACTTCGAATTCGTACCTCGCGTGTTCTACAGTGTTCGTTCGAGAGTGAGGTGCGAACCGTGTGGTACGTTCTCGAATTAACTCGCATCTATGATAATAGGTGGCGTTGGCGTCTCGGGCATATAAATACAGAGTTGCAGCGGGAAGTCGGTAGTTGTTTACAAAGAAAGTGAACTGTTCAAATCTGATAGAGAATATTCAAGCAAGTACATTAAAAATGTCGATGATTCCCTATTTCTACGACCTCGAAAGACCGTTCCGTATGATGGAGAGGGATTTCTACAGACCCGCGAGTTTCTTTGGCTATTCTCCATTCAACCAGATGATGTCACGAGACTTCTTCGGTCCATCGTTCTTGAAGCCATGGGAAAACATCATCAGGCCTATGGAACAACTCACATCATCAATGAATCAGCTGGCACTGAACGGAGCGAGCAAAATAACTTCGGACGACGAGAAATTTCAAGTGAATGTCGACGTCCAACATTTTGCACCGGAGGAAATAAACGTGAAAGTGGTTGATGGCCAAGTTCTGATTGAAGGGAAGCATGAAGAGAGGCAGGATGAACATGGGTTTGTGTCTCGGCAGTTCATAAGGCGTTATGCTCTTCCAAAGGGTTGCTTACCTGACACTGTGGAGTCAAAATTATCGTCTGATGGCGTCTTAACAGTTACTGCACCTAAAGTTCTACCCCTCCCTTCTACTGGTGAGAAGATCGTGCCAATTACACAAACAGGACCCGTCAAGAAGCAACTTGGATCACCAGATCCAATTAAGGAGGAGTCATAAACGTGTAAATAGTGTAAATAATAAGTGTTATTATTTTTCATGTAAGACTGATTTGAAATCTGTGCTATATTCGCCTATTTTTAATTGTTTTTATTTGTTAATAAACTTATGATTTATGCCTATTTCACTTTGAGTTGTTTTATTTCAAAGTAGGTTCTAAGTTAATGCCAAAAAGATAACTATAAAATCAATAGAAGGATAACAAAGTGTTACTGCATAATTTAACAATTTGTGAAGTTAATAAACTAGTAGGTAGGCAACACATACTATTTTATCTTATTCAAATTTTAGAATTGTATGTAGGTACATTAGTATTAAATTAAGTTTTACCTGTCATGGTAAATCAAACTCCACAAGGCTTAGAAAAACTCACATCCACTTTTCGTTGTCTATATCATCATACTTTCTATTTGTTATTGAGTACTGTACTATTTAATTACATGTAGTCGAGTGGTTGATGGTAGGTCTGCCAAGAGGTCTTTGGTTCAATTCACAAGTCAGATTAAGTATCATTAGTGTTTTTATGATGGAAAAACAGTAAATGATATCATCTGACAAAATAGATCATAATTTGTTTAAAACAAATTCAATTAAATACACAGGTATGTATACATTGGCATTGTGTTGGATAATTAGTAAGACAAGTCACTTAAAATAATAAACTATAATTTTATGTAAAAAATGCTTTTTCTGGAACATTATGTAAAAGGTATTACTGACGTAGACCAGGCATAAATAACTATAACGAATGAATCACAGGGAATTTAATGTCTATAAGGTTCACGACCAAAACTATTCTGAGCTTGGCGTGATGCCCACTGCAGCAACTGCAACTTTATATATATTTACTCTCTATTTTCTCCGAAAGGCCTTGGAGAAGCTTCTCCATCACCAGTTTCACCCTTGGATCCAAGCTTCTTCACTGGTCCTGTATGAATGATAGGTATGATGCGTTCATTTGAACTTATAGGACGTTCTAAGGGGGCAGTGACAGTTAGAACTCCGTCTGATGATAGACGAGATTCCACAAAGTCAAGGCAGCACCCTTCAGGTAGTGGGTATCTCCTTTTAAACTGACGGGACACCCATCCATGTTCGTCTCGCTTCTCTCCATGCTGACCCTCGATGACGACAAACCCATCAGCGGTTTTTACCGAAATCTCTTCAGGAGCAAAGTGTTGCACGTCCAAATTGACTTGGAACTTCGCTCTGTCGGACTTGATCGTTGTTCCGAAGTTCGTCATCAATGATGATAACTCTTTCCAGGGTCTGTAGTAGTCGTTTGCGTACTGCGGAGCTACCATCGTTAATATATCCTCGGGTGTCAGTGCCAACGCAAAATGTTGGTCGGTCAGTTGCAAAGGCATTTCGAAAATAAACGGATGCGTTGACATATTTGCAGTATAGAAAGAAATTATTGTGAATTGTATTTTATTAAATTTTTGACGGGCGGTTGTATGAGATTGCTGTGCGCAAGAAGTTTTGCGCCGAAAATGTAATTATATGTGGCCAGTAAATATTGATAATAAAAACTTTTAATAGTTACCTATTTAGAATAAATAGGTTGGTCATATTCAGCATTATTTTTTTTTTGTAAATACTGTGAAGCAATAAATTCATTACATATAGACATACGCATTATTGTTTTATGGAATCAGAATAACTTTCGAGCCGACCATCGGGTTGATTTTGAAATCATGCTCGGTGTACTTATTAATATATCATTCTTATTACATGGGACCCAACTGTTGAACATGGGATATTGTATTGTAAGAATATGCGAAGCTCACCTCTGCCTAAACCCCTTCTGGGTTCATAAAATGTGCCGTTATACATGTACATACGTATCACATATACATGATAATATGTATCTTTCCTATAACTGCCTCGTTGGCCGAGTGGTCGCAACTGCAAGTGCGACTGCCGGGCAAGAAGTCTCGGGTTCGATTCCCAGGCCGGGCAAAGTATTACTGGGTTTTTAAAAAAGTTCTCAGTAGTAGCACGGAATCTCACCCCCTATTACACGGGACTCATAACATAGGTAAGTAGTGAAAAGTGGGTGTTAAATTGTACAGTGGCATTAAGTGCCGTAATGTGCACCTCTGCCTACCCCTTCGTGGGGGAAAAGGCGTGGTGTTGTGTTATATTTCCATAATACATTGTTAATTAGTATTACATTAAGTCAGTAAAAGTAAATATAGCTGTACATATTTAAAAACCACTAAACCTGTCGACATTGTATGATAAAATTGCGTCCTTGAACTGCGAAGTTTCCAAGTTCATTATCAGACATGTTTACATTACCGGTATTGTGACTGTTTTTTCTAGAATGTAGATGTTGTTGCTGTTCTAGATTATGCGTATCGATCGATATTCGATAACTGCATTATTGAAATAAATATTAAACTTACAATCATTAAACCTTATCTATGGTATGGTGTGTAGAATCTCCTTTTTATTAGATGAATCATCAACATCAACAACAATATTTATGGATGAGTTATTCAAGACGTTTATTATACGACGAATATTCATTACCAAGCATAATATAATACATAATAAGTGGAGCCGCGGAGGACTTAAAGGGTTGTCGGGGCTCCGGCTCGAAGGTCAGGAGTAGGAACGGTTTTTAGTCAGTAAGAGTCTGACACTGGCGGGAGGCTCCTCACCCAGACGGGAGAAGTTATTCGATGATTTTTCCCCAAAAAATGATAATAAGTAGTTATATTGTTTAGTTATATTGTTCAGTTATTTTACATAACAGACTGTCCTTTGGTCGTGTAGGCTCAATATTATGACTTTTGACAAAGGAATATAGGGTCCTTTTTCACATAAAATATTATTAAGACATATTTGTAAACGCTCTAACCTTCTCCGTGTGAGAAGAGGCTTTGCTCAGCAGTGGGCATTTATAGGCTGTTGATGATGATGATGATGATGATATTTGTAAAGCGTATAATACGTTTTGTCACTGGACTACTACTAGGTCAAAAGAAAATGAATTTACTTTATAAATATACATTTTTAGATCTTTTAATTCATATACAGGAAAATATGTAGCACCACGGTTGGTAGGTAATTACATAAAACACAAAACTTAAAGTATAATTTTAAATCAGTCTATTTTTGTCATTGCATTGTCGACTATAAACGTAAATGATAGAGTTGAAAATGTAATTAACTCGTCGAGTACCGTCATTATAGACACAATTATAGAACAATAGGTTGCGGTCACCGGTGATTGGGTGATTGCTTGGTGTTTGACAGTTTAAATCATAGTTTTTAGTAGGTAGCGCAGTGTAGGTAACGCATAATGTGATTAGAACATTTTCATAGGTACCCATATGAGTTCAATACGAGTAAACTCTATTGAAAACTACCTAGGTACTAAATAAATTATGACCTATTATAAAAAGTAGATCTAGGTTTATAATGTCCGGGGCTTCGGCTCGAAGTGCAGGAGAAGTAACGGGGTGGTTTTTAGTCAGTAAGAGTCTGATACTCAGACGGGAGAAGCCATACGATGATTTTGCCCCTTAAATAAAGTTTAATAATTATTTTGAGATAACCTACCTCCGGATTTTTTTTTAAAGAATTTGATGTGTGGTCTGGTGACAGTAAAATTAAATAAGGTAGTTTTAAATTATCACTTATTATAAAACAATAACTTGTTAAGCAATAAAAAAATTATGAAATTATTTTAGCGACGTCTGGCAATATAATCTTATTTTAGTGTTAGCTTGCATGTTCACCTTCATATTTAGTAAGATCATCATAAACAAATTACAAGGCATATTTTAGTCTATTAATACTGTATAAAAATCCGCTATACATAAGTAATCGTTACTGGGTGTATCTAGAATGCTCCTTCTCACTTCGAGAACAGTTTGGTTCAATAGCAATATTCTAGATTCTGTAGTGACGCCACTCGACACCAGAGGGCGTACCGTCATCAGTTGCTTAGAACATTTGGTTATGGTAGTAGGTATTAGTTATGCTTAATCTGGAAGTAAGGATTTGTTTGATTTTAATATAATAATATTTGTTATTTATCTTAGATTAAAATAATATATTTTATGTTAGATTCCGATAGTGTAACGTTTTGTGAAAATAATAATCATAATCTTTCGTTGTATTAGTTTCCGAGAAATATACTAAAATAATTATAGATATACAAAATTAAGAAATCCTATAAAAATAAATGTTATAAAATATCTCTTATTCGAATACAAAAATTTTAAACATATAAAGGCTATTGAAAGTTGTGCATAACTAAAACTAGTAAAAAATGTTTATAGCGTCTGACGTAAGTACGTCACACGCCTGCGCGAGCCATCTTGCTCATTCTAGAGGCACATTCGAGAAAATTCCATTACATACTAGATGGCGCTGTCGTGATATAAATGTGAAGCCGGCTTGAATTCGGCATTCATTCAACTGAACGCGACACTGAAGAGAGCGATTAGCGAAATCGTCGGAGATCTCTAAGCGATATTTGAGTAAAAACTCATTGAATTTCTTGTGTACAAGTGAATTAACAGTATTGTCGAGTAAAAATGTCGATGTACCCATTTTTCTTCGAGTACGAGCGACCACGGCACAACCCGCGCCGTTTGCTTGACCAGCATTTCGGCTTGGGATTAACACCGCAAGACCAGTTAACCATCATCGCTGTTCCTCAAGCCAGCCGTGATTACTACAGGCCTTGGAGAAACCTTCAAGCGGCAGCTCAGGATGCGGGTTCCACCATCAAAGAAGATAAAGACAAGTTCCAGGTGAATTTGGATGTCCAGCACTTTGCGCCGGAAGAAATCTCAGTAAAGACGGTGGACGGTTACTTAGTGGTCGAAGCTAAGCACGAGGAAAGGCAGGACCAGCATGGATTCATCTCCAGAAGTTTCACCAGGCGGTACGCCTTACCTGAAGGTATTGATGCCGACTCTGTGATGTCAAAATTGTCTTCTGACGGTGTTCTCTCTATCACGGCGCCCTTGAAGCCACCTCCGAAGGAGTCCACCGAGAGGGTGGTTCCCATCATTCACACTGGACCTGTGAAGAAGCAGGAGAACAAAGAGGAGCAGGGGTAGAACATTCCAGTTGTGTTTAAAGTGGATTATTGTTATCATTCCGTGCTATTCTGATGGTTATGTTGAATCTGTCGAGCTGAGCTTGCTGTGTTGTGTGATTATTTGTCTAAACAATACTGATTAAGTGATTCTTTTGTAAGTTACAAAATAAATGACGTTCTAGTCATTAATTTTATTTAGTTGTATTATTTACCTCTTATGCATAGGTAACTTGGCAATGTTTTTGATTTAAATGAATTGATTGATACTGGTACTACCTACCTTATTCAGGAAATACAAATTTTAATGTACGGTATACTTACATAAACCACTAAATATTGTTAAAGAGTGCGTGGTTTAAATTATTTTTTATCATCGATAAGTAAAAATTAATTGTTTACCAAAATATGCTCGATATTTCAAAGTTATTTTAACTATTTCTAACCGCAACGCCATCTTTGAAATCTTGGTGTAACTACAAACACCATATCTAAACCTGGTATGTATACATGTATACCTATTAGTACTACCAGTTCTCACTAGATGGCATAAAAATTAAATATCATTGTGGTGAACAGGTACTTTTCTCATTGCGTGCAATATTATGACTATCTAACTATCTATCGCATCACGTGTTCGATTCGAGTAAGGCCCGTATTAATAAACCGATATCAGCGTAAGAGCGAGATGTTAAGATCCTGTTTGATATTCCGACATATTAACCCATGGTATGCCGGGAGCGTAGATATACGCGAGATACAATATGTTTTCTATTGTGTCTTATATGCCAGCAGATAAGAGGTTAATAAACAAAACCTAATACGCGGTTTAAAAGGTTACCTGGGATGGGACCCAATACTTACTCTCTTTCCAATCTTAAAATTTTCAATTTTCAAATCCCTAAACCGTGTTGCGAGTGGTCATGGGTGAAGCCGTTTACTTATTATCAGGTGATCTGCCTATCGTTTACCGTTCTATGCCATACAAAAAACAATGAATAAGTCGAGTGGTAACAGCAATAAAATTAAGCAAAAAAACATGCTCAATATTTCAAAGTTATTTTAACTATTTCTAACCGCAACGCCATCTTTGAAATCTTGATGTAACTACAAACACCATATCTAAACCTGGTATGTATACCTATTAGTACTATCAGTTCTCACTAGATGGCATAAAAACTAAATATCTTTGTGGTGAACAGGTATTTTTCTCATTGAGTGCAATATTATGACTATGGCATCGCGTTTTCGATTCGAGTAAGGTTACCTGGAACCCAATACTTACAATCTTTCCAATCTTCAAATTTTCAATTTTCAAATCCCTAAACCGTGTTG